GCTGTGTTTGTTGTTTGGCAGACCTTAGTTGAAATCTCATCTCAAATAATTTTTGGTTGTGTGACCCTGAGCAAGTCACTTAACCTCTGCCTCAGTTTCCTCAACTGTAAAATGGGTTCTTTTGAGGTTCAAATGAGTTAATATTTGCAAAGTGCTTAGCACAGTGCCTGGCACATGGTAAACGCTACATGAATGCTTTTTTTTGCCTTTTTTTTTGTCTTTTTTTGCAGTTTTTGCCTTTCTTTGTACCCTCAGTGCTGTTAAGTGCTTAATAAATGCTTGCTGATTGACAGACTACATAAGAGTAGAATTGTTGTTGTTCAATCATGTCTGACTCTTCATGATCCCATTTAGGGTCTTCTTGGCAAAGATACTGGAGTGGTTTGCTATTTCTTTCTCCAGTTCATTTTACAGGTGAGGAAACTGAGGCAAACAGGGTTAAGTGACTTCCTCAGGGTCACACAGCTTGTAAGTGTCCAAGGCCAGATTTGAACTCGGGAAACTGAGTCTCCCTGATTCCCATCCCTGTGCTCTATCCACTGAACCACCCAGCTGACCAAGAACGTAGAGACTGTCCATCAACTAACCAAATTCACACTATACCAAGGTAAAGGTCTGGTATAGAGTAAAGAGCCTTGACCTTGGAAGATGGAACACCTGGATTTAAGACTTGCCTTTGCCATTGTGTGACCTCTGCTCGAAATCTGAATTTCTCCATCTGCAAAATGGGCGTAATGATATTTGAACAACTTACATCCCACAATTTCTGTGAGGCTCAAATGAAATGATGGATACAAATAACTCTGTTACCATAAAGTGTTTTTTTATATATAATTTTTTTTGTGAGGCAACTGGGGTTAAGTGACTTGCCCAGAGTCACACCTCTAGTGTTATGTGTCTGGGGCTAAATTTGAACTCAGCTCCTCCTGACTCCAACGTTGGAGCTCTATCCACTGCGCCATCTAGCTGCCCCTTGTAATTTTTTACACTTGGCAAATATGAACATCTCCATATGCAAAAAGCAGAAAATAAGGATTGCAAATGAAACCACAAATCTCTATTACATGCACCTTGCATTTTTTTTCAAAATTTTTCTAATAAATTCAATTATAAAATTCAAAATGTCATAATCAATTCAATTGGATTTTGCTTCTCTATGTCTCCCTCTGAACCTTCTTCTTCTCTCTTCTGTGATTTTTTAAAAATGCTGTAATAACTTTCTCCTTTTTGTTACATCCCTATCTCTAGTTCCCCTTTCCCTTCTAAAATCTCCACAATTAAAAAAAATAGTAACAAACATAATTAAGCAAAAAATCTGTAGATGAGGCATATCCAAAAATGTGTATCAATATGCACCTTGAGTCCCCCCAAGTTCTCCAGCCACAAAGCACTGCATAAATGTGAGTTATAATTATTTTATTTATGGATGAGACCTAGGTAAACTGGTGTGTATCCATATCTATCCTCAATATACTAAAAATATAAAATCCTTGATTATATGCTATAGCATATAATAACAAAATTAATATAATATTATATAGTAATAATAAATAAGCCATGTCTATACACTCTCTTCCTTGAGAAGAGAACTTGGCTCAACTACTTGGGCCTACTCTACAACCAAACCCCAACTCTGGAATCTGCTGCCATTATCATTTCTGCCCACCCAG